TATTATTGCAAAACAGTCAGTTGAGTCATTTCCTTCCTTAAATCAATAAGAACAGCCTGTAATTTAAATGAAATAAGTTACTGATGAATCGTGTGTACGAGCACCACAAGATAATTCATTGTGAATATGTTAGAAATTACAATTAGAATTACTTAATGATTGGTATTGATATTGTACATAAATTGTTTAACGACTTGTAGATGCAAACAATCTTGACATATTTGTTCAATAGCGTGATTTACAATAAATCAAAGTTGCTGACACTAATAAGGATACTCACTGTATCAGACGAATTTCTGAGCTCGCGTGATTACGAAAGTGGGACCATACGATTTCGATGACGTGAATAAGCACCCATGCAGGCAAAGAATCCCATAATTCCGATAATCAATCCAAGTATCAATGCCAATGTATCTCCGAAGTCAAAGCCGGACGAAGCCATCGCAAAATCGAACGTCGCGAAAATAGCGACCAGGAAATAAAACCACATTCTTGCGATAAAAATAGACCTGGTCTCTAATACCTTCGCGAATTTTAACAAATATTTACACTCTTATATAAATTAAACACTCCTATATAAAATAAAAATATATACATAATCTACTAATTATACGTACACTAGTTATTAAGTGCGAAATGCGAAAGCTACGAATACGTGGTTGTATTGTAAATCACTAACACATATACAATTATTAGGGATGATTCAAAATTTAGCCAAACTGAAGTTCACAGTTTCTCAAACAAATATTATTTTTACATTATCTCGATTTTGAACTTTTGCCATCAACAGTGCCTTCCAAATAACAAAAGTGCAAAAAGATACAAAATAATGAATCATTCTTGAACGTCTTATTACAGAACATACAGAAGTGCACAAGAGCAGGATGAGGCAAGAGAATGCATGAATAATACGTCTTTGTTAGATATTTAGGATTTCTCCTTTTTTGTTAACATCGTTTCAAATTGCATGCAAAAACACATGATATTTTTCTTATGTGTGAAATATTAGAAAAAATTAAATCATCTTCTCAAGTATACTTTCCTAACGACCATTCGTCAGGAATGATTCACAGACGATAGAAACTTTTAGAATGTTAGAGAATAAACATTTGAATCGAGATTAATTATAATTTTGCATTTATCTTGTATAAATAAATGAACCAACCAGAAACCAGTTACTGTTCTCAAGAAACTTGGACGACCCATTCACGAATGCAGCTGAAGCAACCTATCTCGTTGAAGATAAAGATGCAATGTTTAAGGTGGCGTCACTTACTACTACTGGGAAGTACAGAGAGGAATTATTATACTGGCGCGTATCGACCGAGTAAAAACAATTTGCCCCTCGTCGTTTACACATTTCAGCTTCAACTATTTAACGCAGGTAGGCAAGACGAATGCACGCATCTAGATAATTGTTCGCTTATTAATTGACACGACGAGGCGTTTCGAAGTATCGGCATGTACCCTTTCAAGGGGATAATCACTGCTGCTGTGTAGCCATTTTGCTATCCGTTGATAAATGCAAGACATTTTCGTACCGACTGGTGAACCGCGTACTTCTCCTAACATATAAAATGCTAATGCTTATTTCGATGTTTTAAACAATTTTCTTTACGGGCAAACTCCCGTCGCGGACGTACGATATTGTGTCAAAAGAATGTTAGGCGTGTAACAAGTACGCGTGTGATAGATGTACGATGTAGAACGCCCGATTGTCCGTATGAAGCAATTTCAAAACGAATAAGTGCAGATCAATCGCATTATTAATTGTTCTATAGTATATAATCTGTTTGTTTTACTTCTGTTTACGAATATCCGCTTTATGAAGGAACTTCTGCCGTCCGTCTTCATTTAACATACTTTCATAACGGACATACAGAAATATGATTGTACTCTTTTCAAAATGTTCGTTATAATCATTAAAAAGTGAATTAAATACATTGTCTTTTGATACGTGTAAATGTCCCTTATGGTATTTCTTGACTAGTTTCTGTGTTCACATTTACAAACGTGATAAAATTTTGGGGTCACAGTTAACACTCAACAATCATGGAAATATCGCATGAAATATTGGACGCAATGGATATTGGTAATGACAAAGATGTGATGGAAGTACTGAAGCATGCGATTTCAGAAGAGAATGTTATCCTGGAGTCAGAGACTACAGAGGATTCTGAGGAAACAGAAATTGAAGAAATCATCGAAATAATAGAAGAAGTAGAAGAAGAGAAAGAAGAATTGCAGGATGATACAGCTCTTGTAGAAAATGAAGACAAAGCGAAAACAGACATGGGAGTGTATACTTTCGAGGAAACACATTCGGGGAAGAAAGGTGAGAAGAAATATGGGAATCATAAAAGCAATAGTAAGCAAGTTATAAGATACGACGTGGATGAGGACTGGCAAGATGAAGACATGGAAGAGGAGGAACAGTACGAAGTGAAATATGAACGTAATTTAAGTCAAAGCGAAGAGTTCTTGCAAGAACTGAAAGTACCAAATAATAATAGAAAATATGTAAATAAGCAACAAAATTCTTTGCAAATGAATAGATCGGAATCTTTAGATCATATAGAATCTATGGATAAGATTGAAAACTCGAAATTAACTCAAGAATTCGAAAATAATGTGAGTAATTACGAATATGATGATAATAACGTAAGTCATGAAATTGTGAAGAATACCGAGAATAATCTGTTGTATACTGTTCTTGGTATAAAGAAGCCGAGCTCTGTAAAAGCATTACAGATGGATAAAGTCTCGGATGCTAATTACATTAAGGTTTGTATTACTAGATTCGATTTATTTGAGATCCTGTGTATGGGACAATGACATCCTCTTTTTCAGATGGAACATCTTAATGAGAATTCTTTACCAGTTGATGGGGCAATTTATTATGAAGGAGAGAACATGGAAACGGTGTATGTTGCGGAGAACACGGACGATAATGAACAATATTCTTATGAAACTGCAGCAATAGAAAATGAGGAACAGGCATGGGAAGCAAGTAACTCGGATACAAATCAAAATCAGGAAAAAGAAGTTTTCCAGGTAGTGATTTGACAAATGAACAACTAACTTGTTTTATTGACTGTTATACACTAAATGTTCGTATCTCAAATTTTAGGACCAAATATTTCTACACGAAGACGAAGAGGGGCAATTGTACTTCAAAGACGACACCGGTGCATTGCAACCTGTGTATTTAACTGAAGATGGGCACTACGCTATTGCTGATACCAGCGATGACCAAGGGAGCAAGGACCTGCCAACTAAGTCTCAACAGAGTGATAAACAAATAGACGAAGAATCTTATTCTGCAACGGAAAGCGAACTCAAGTCCTCTCAAAATAATAGACAGGTATATTCTTGATAATGAAGTGTATGTACATGCGAAAAGACTTCCTCTCTTCATTGGTATCTTATTTCAGAATGTGGTGCCTGCTACTGATATCGACAACGAAGATAATACTGTAACTATATCTTTAATAATATCCGAGGATGAACACGGGCAGAAAAGGACTCAAGTCATCATACCCACAACGGACAATTTGAAGTGTGACATTTGTAATAAAAGTTTTAAAACATCTTTCCAGTTACTTCGACACAATAGACTGAAACACGCTCGTGAAGAAGATATTACAACCAGAAACTTCCCATGCGACTTGTGCCCCAAGAGGTAATTCTCAGGGATTTCATTGTTTTCGTGCTATTTTTAATGTATTCTTCTTGTGTGAATTTCAGGTATCCAGATCAGAACTCCTTAGCCCGTCACAGAAAGACTCACACTGGTGATCGACCATTTCAGTGCCTCGAGTGCCATAAAAACTTTCCGACGTCCACCGCTCTACGTCGTCACATGACGCTTCATAATTCGCAATCTCGACCTCTTCCGTGCATTTACTGCGGTCGCCGCTTCGTAGACAAAGCTAGTCTGGTCAAACACGAGCAGTCGCATTTGGCTGGTGATCAGCGGACCCACACGTGCGATGTATGTCATAAGTCATTCTTACATGCAACTGATCTGAGTCTACATAAAAAATATCATGATCCCGATAAGAAATTTGACTGTGAGGTTTGTGGTCGAGAGTTCAACAGATTGAACAATTTGCAGAGACATATGATGGTACATCAACAAGTACGTATGTTCAATACGATCTTAGTGTTTAAATTGTTCGGGTTGTCTCGTGAGAAAAAGAAAAGAAAAAACAAAGTTCCATATATGTTTCTTGCATTTCTCTCATATTTTCTGCAACTTGTACGCACTTATGTAAATGTAGTGAAAAGATCTCTGCATTTTAAAATGAATAAAAGTTTTTTTACATTTTTTGCGACATGTATTAATCACAAAATATGTGAAGTCTTTGTTTTTGAATTTCAGCAAGGGGCGAACCAGGAGATACTTTCTTGCGACGTGTGCGGCATCACCTATAAGTTCATGAGTTCACTGACCAGGCACATGGTGACGACCCACATGAACCCGGAAAAATTGAGACAACAGGCCGAGGAGCAACGGAGGAAGCGCGAAAACAATTATCGTCGTTATCTGGAGAATCGGAAAATGTACGAGACTCAGCAGGCGAGCTCCTACAACCCTAAGCGAACTTATCACACCCGTCTGCACAGCGAAAGTAACGACGACGAGGTGGCTTGATTTGCATTTTTGAGCTAACGTTCAACAATGAGAAGTACCACAATAGAATCATAGTTTTATAAAATAAATGAAAACAGAAGTATGATATTTAACTGTAACGTAGTGATAGTCTTTTTGCTATAATTTAAATATATACGACTCACGTAGTGTTTGAGATGTTAATGTAATTACATATCTTTATATGAATTTCGCATTGGCATTATCTGGCACTCTAGAAAAATGCAGGACATGTATTGGAAGTGAATTACTATACATGCAATCATGTTCATTTCATTTTGTTTGTACGCTAAATATGTACCTACATTATAGATGATATAATTATGATCAGTAATATTTTAATATATGCATATTTTATTGTATTTTCGATGTAATTATACTCATATGATGTAGCTAAGTACAAAATACTGTTAAGAGGAAGGAGGAGAAAAATTTATAAGTCGATTTCGTACATACGACAAAGTTTCTATTGTAGTGATATGAATATTGTATAAACATTATATGAGAATGAGAGGAATACATATAAGCTGATTTTTTTATATTAATATTGTTTGTAACCAGTTTTCTTTCATTTATTAATTATACGAAGTTTCATTTACAACCGAGGAAATATATATATAATATAACTAAACAGCAATGCGCAAAACATACTGTACGAATATATTATTTTTCTGATAATAGTGTAACTTAGAAGT